AAGGGCTTTGAAAAAACTAGGCAAGCACTGAACTACATTTCCAGCCCTTCAGTTGAGTATGTATGAAGTATAAGACATGATAGTCCCCTGAAATGAGACAGGATGCTATAAATTGGTGAAGAACAAGTAAACTAAAATATTTTCTTTGTTACTCAACATGATTGATTGTCATACCTTCTATGCACAAGTTAAGAACATATGAGGGGTTGTTGAAGCAGTGAGGTGTGGTTGCCATAATAGTTCTTCCAGAAGGTGTAGGAAACAACAAACATAAAGGTTCCTGCATGTCATTGGAAATTTAGCCAAAAAGAATTTTGTACTACAAAGGATAAGTTCAAGAATACAGGTAACGATGAAGGTAAATAACAGGAACTGACAAGCCAAGCTTGGTGGCATACACCTGTAATCCCAGTACTTGCGAGATGGAGCAGAAAGACTAAAAGTTGAGCCATCATAAGACCATTATAGTGACTTTAAGGCCAGTCTGGACTACATGAGACCCTGTCTCACACGGAGAGGATGCAAGGGCAATCTGGCTGAGGCATCTGTCATCCCATTGAGTGCTAGTGCTGATTCATATGATTTTGCTAGCTAAATGTATGTACCCTTCCTGAAACTCGTACTGAAACTATGCGCTTGGACAAAGAATATGACATTCCCCTACAGAGGACGACAGGGTCTTTAGTCTTGGGTATAGAAACAGCTGTGCTCCCATGCTAGAATTTCTACACAAATTCTACACACACACACACACACACACACACACACACACACACACACACACAAAGAGGGGTGGGGGCCAGTAGGAGAGAGGGAGAAAGATGGAGACTGAGGGAGACATCCCAAAATTATGGGATATGAGACCACTACTCAGTTAAATAAAGAACTTTTCTGGTCAGCAAATAACATCCCAATGACTTTTCTCACCTCAGGCAAACACATTGTAGTTGTTTCATTTCTTGGGGATGTGTTTACTTTTTTGGTCTTTTGAGGCTGGGTTTGTTATGTAGCCTTGAACTCTCAATTCCTTTGCCTTAACACTCTAAGTACTGGGATCATAGTCTTGTGACACATAGACAGTTTTAACTAGTTTAGTTGTACACAAGGATGCCACAACTCATTGCAATATGCGAAGAATCAAGGGTGGCATAGTTGGTAGTCCATTCTCTTTCATTTTGAGTGTGTACCCCGGAAATATTTCTTTGTTCTCCCTCTGCCCTCCCGCTCTTATTTTTTTTTTTTGACAAGGTCTCATGCTGCCCAGGCTGTCCACAAACTCATTATGTAGTTGAGGCTCACTACATAATGAATTGAATTCTGATTGAATTCTGATCTTCCTACCTGCACCTTCTCAAGTGTTAGGATTATTTAGCTTCCGTTCCTTAAATGAGCTTTCATTTTCACATTCCAGATGTTGTAACTTCTGCATGAACTTTTATGTTTTGGTTAAAAAAAAAATGTACTAAGGGTGTATTTTGTCATCCTAACTTAATTCTTTGGTATCCTAAGACTTGTCATCAAAGTATTCCCCAGTAAAGTGTCCTAGAAGCTAGCTGGCAGAAACCCACGCAATTGAGGGGAACAAGAAAGGACAATAAAGGGGATGGATATTATCAAAGTACACTTCACACATGTATGAGAGTGTTACAATAAAACCCTTTATTTGGGGCAATGTATGCACACTACTAAAAAGTCTAAAACAGGGGCTGGGAATGTAGCTCAGCCTAACTCTCAAATACTTCAAAGCATAATGTTTAAGCCTAAAATATGCATTCAATTAAGTTCTTCTCTTACTCATGACTTTATAAATGGATAGCAATCTATATTTACTTGAATGACTCATTGAGCTTAAACAAGAAAATGCACTTTATTAATAAGTTGAATTTCTGGATCAGAAAAGCAAGCAGAGTTCTTAAAATGTATGATTACTAGCCAGTCATGCTGGTACATACCTGGAACTAGATGCAGGAAGATCAGGAGTACAAGCTCATCCCTGGCTACATGTAAAGTTTGAGGATAGCCTAAGTATCCTGAAAACCTGCCTCATAACAACAACAATAACAAACTTTATGATAATCAGATCAACCAAAGTAGCCATTTCAAGTATTTTCAACAAATAACTGATGAATTTCTGAGAATAATTTTTGTGTTAAAAATTGTATGATATGTAAAGAAGTACAAGATGTCACCCCTATATTTAAGCAAGAAGTACAAAGTCTTAACGAAATAAGGCAATCTATGATAGCATGAGCCCAGAGACACGCATGAAAGGCTCTTTACACTTTAAAGGCAGCATAGAAGGGGAATATAAGAGTCAAGCATGTGGTGCTCACTTGTTATCCTAGCACTCAGGAAGCTGAAGCAGTAATGTTTCAAGTTCAAGGCCAACCTGGGCTATATAGTGAAACCCATTCTCTAAAACAAACATGAGAGAGAGGGGGGGGGGAAGGAGAAGAGGGAAGGTATAATGGTAATATAACTCATTTCTAGAATGAGTTTTCATAGGGCCTGGAATGATAGAGAGAGGAGGGTAGAATTTATTGCATTGTTGGACTCATAGACTCTTTAGAATCTGATTATTTTTTTATGTATTTTTTCAGTCCTCCTTCTCCATACTTCTGCCTCTTTCTCCCGAGTGTGTGATTATAGGCATGTGCCACTTTGGAAGCATTTTTAATCTATCCCTCAATAAAGGAAGTTTTGTAAAAATTCCAGGCAGATTCTAGATGCTAAATATACTGGCACATGCCTACAATCTGTGGTCCAGAGAGTGAAGCAGAATGGTATAGTGTTCCAGGACACCCTAAGAAACAGAAAAACCTGCAATAATAATAATGATAATAATAATAATAATAATAATAATAATAATAATAATAAGCCACAACAGTGGCACATGGCTATAGTGCCAGCACTCTAGAGGTAGAGGCAGAAGGATGAGAAATGGTTTCCTCACTACATGGCAAGTTTGAGGCTAGCCAGGCCTATGTAAGGCTGTCATTTAAAAAAGCAGCAAAACAAAAACAAAAAGAAAACTAAACCAAACAGCAAGAACAACATTCTGATGTATTCCAGAAAATGTATGTTGCAGCCACAGTTTGAAATCATAGGAGCCAGCTATCACAACATTAGTTCTCTTGTTAGACAACTCTCACAATTAGAAATCCCCTACCCTAAAACCCCAGGACTGGTTTTGGTTTAAAGTTTTGCATGGGTGGCCTGTTTCATTGGCTCCTGGAAGTGAGGTATATAAAGTAAGCTATTGAAAGCACATGAGTTAAGATTCTAATCTGCATTAATCTTTCTCTCTGCTCCTTGAATTATTAGTATTCACATAACAGGGTATATTTAATATCTTTGGCTAAATGAAAACTTTTAATTCACCTAGAAACAACTATATATAAATGCATGATGAAAATGCATCTATGGTATTGGATATCTATGGGGGAAACTAATTATGATTCCCCTCAAGTGTTTTAAATTGCTTTAGAATCTTAAAAGTCGTGCTTGAAAATTCTATTATATAGATAAATTTTGTTGTCAGATAGTCTAAATATGTGCATTTAGAAAAGACCAGGAAGCCCTATGAACGGCCCCAAAGAGACAGCTTATTTCCTTGATAGCCTATGTTTTAAAACAAAGCCAGTCATGGTAGTGTAGACCTGTAAGCCCAGCCCTGGGGAGGCTGAGGCAGGAGATTCTTCCAAGATCAAGGGTCAGCTTGCTCTATGCAGTGAGTCCTGGTCACCCTGGGCCACATAGTGAGGTTCTGTCTCAGACAAACACAGTAAACAAAATTTATTTTCCAAAGCCTGCAACACGTAGATACGGAGATTCATCATCCCGTCATATAGAGATCTTGCAACTAGGCTCAACTCCTTTAATAGTAGGTGATTCAATGACCATGGTCTCTTAGAAATGAATTAAATTAGTGATGTCATTAGTTGGATCCTTAATGAATTGAGCAATAGCTACTTGAATGCAATTTGGAAATCTTGGTGGCTTTACTAATATAAAGGAAACTGGTAACAAAGATCACGTATTAGCCTTTTTGCAGGGAGGGACCAGCCTGCATCTTTTTGAGATAGGGTTTCAATATGTAGCCCTGGCTAACATAAAACTTGCTTTGTAGACCAGGCTGATCTTGAACTCAGGGATCCATCTGCTTCTTCTGCGTCCTGGGTGATTGGGTTAAAAGCATGCATCTCCACACCCAGGCCAGACTGTATTCTTTATTTCTGTTTTATGTTTATTAGTGTTTTGCCTGCCTGTATCTCTGAGCACTAAATGTATGCTTGGTGCCCGAGGAAGCCAGAAGGCATTGAATTTCCTGGAACTTGTGTTGTAAGTGGTTTGTGAGCCACCATATAGGTGCTGGAAACTGAACGCAGGTCTTCTGCAAGAGCAGCAAGTGCTCTTAAACTCTAAGCCATTTTTGCCTCCAGACTGTGCTCTTAATGAATATCCGAGCCCTGAGTTTTGTAGCTCAAGCTCTGCCCCAGGTTCTGAGGGTCTTTGAATAGGTCACTTTAGCTCTCTGGAGTTCAGATGTTTGATCTATAAAACAGAGCCAGACTGGACATTTATAAGGTCCCTTCTTTCTCTTAAATTTTTATTGAGTTTGTGAAAATATCTTTCTCCATCTTTGCTAGGATGACAGTAAAAGTCATGGTGGCATGAAATTTCAGAACACTTAAAAATACTTAGGAAATTAGACAGATTTGTAGCGAATGTTTTTATTTTTCTTGGCAACAGAAACTAATTTTGTTCAGCCTCATCAATAGTCTCCTTTATTCCCTAAATTATGCATGATTTATGATGAAATGCACAAAGCTAATTTCCCCCCTAGTTTCTTGTTTTGTGTGAATAAATGGTCCTCTCAGGCTTTCCTTATTAATAACCAGTTCCAATGGACAGAGCACTCACCATAAAATTTTCTTTATACTGTAACTAGAGCTTGGGACAAAACAAAATAAGAGTAATGCTTGGTATGTGTTTTCCAGAGAATCAAGGAGTACATGGCCAAAAGTGCCATCAACTATAAAAATGCTGTCCTGATATGCATTGGGAAGCACTTGGCTGGCACTAAAGAGGAAGCTACCAGCAAATGAGCCTTTTCTTTTTCCTCAATAATTACTGTATGGCTAGAAGAAAAACCCTCTAAGGTTAATTTAGTTCCTTTTTTGGCATAGGCCTTTGCTTGGTAAGTCTCCATTAAACACAAATAAAAAGGACACACTTGGAAGTTGCAAACAGCTGGCTTGTGACTTTGCTAAGGAAGGAAATACTTAAAATTTTCATTATCCAGCAGAGGAACCTAATTATACTTTCCATTTCTTGTCTCACTCTTCTAAAGGAAGGGTTTAGTTTGCTTCCTTAACCAGACTTGTAGGAAGCTCCTCAGGGGTTTACATCAATCCCTATTCTGGGGTTAGATTCCACTTAGAGTGAGAACTTGAAAAAGGAAAAGTACTAGAGCCAGCATGTCAAAGGCAGTTCAACTAAAACTCCCTTCAGCTTGCTTTGGAATCCATTCCCATGCCATGTTGATTTGCAGACGGTTTTTTGTTTGTTTGTTTGTTTGTTTTGATTTTAGTACTTTACTAGTACTTTATTAGTGTGAAACTGTTGGGAATGTGGGGAAAGTGATGTTCAAATTCACTATGCTGAATTCCTAATGATATTTTTGGTGGAAGTTTAACATTGCTCAAAACTCTTCAAGCAGTGAACACTTTTCTACTCCTTCACCTTTTTTTCCCCTCTCCATACCCCCTCCCTCTCCTTGTACTTCATCCTTCTACACTCCCTCCCTCTCCATACCTTCTTGTTCTCCATTCACTCTCCATGCTTCTTCTGCTGGTGCTGACAATAAAACTCAGGGATCCTCACAAACTCAGAAAGTGTTCTAAACAATGTATAGTACTCCCGACTCTCCCTCTTCACTCTCCAAAACTGCAAACCTAAATCTTCTTAGGTAAAAATATGAGGCTGAGGCTGAAGATGTAGCTCAGTTGGATGAGTACCTGTCTAGCATACAAGAAGTCTTGGGTTTGATCCTGGACACTTTGTAAATGGAGTGTGGTGATGCACCCATCTAGTTGTATCCCATAGAAGATGACATAAAAGAATAAGAAATTCAGGGTGACCCTTGGTTATGTGTGGAGTTCGAGGCCAGCCTGGGATACATGACATACTGTCTCAAAATAAAAAAGAATAACCATTATAATAGTATTTGTAGATGTGAAAAAAAGAAAGATTATTGCCTTCAAGGTAAGATGTTGTGTCTCTGTTGTACACAGTATTGGACTGTCAAACATAAAAAAAAAAGTTGATTATTGGAGGCCACCCATGGACAGCAGCATTCTTTGCCCTCAATCTTCCTGTGGGTTCATTTAAAAAAGTTACCTGAAGAGCATTTTAGTTGGCTGTGGAGGCACATGTAGCAGTTGGGAGATGTGGAGGCAAAAGAAGGTTGGAATTCAAGGTTATGCTTACTACACAGCAAGTTTGGGCTAAAGTGTAGTACCATCATTTTGTAGAAATCTCTACACATTCTAAGAATGATGATGCCATCATGTATCATTTGCTGTGGAAAGAAGTTTTGACATCAAAAGATGTTTGTCACTTCAATGTTCAAAACTCTGTGGTTAATGGAATCTTAGTTTTGTTTGTTTGTTTGTGTTATACTGTATTTGGCCATATCGTATATAGATCTATTATGTGTGAAAATATTTTTGTGGATAGTGAATTTCTTGAATTCCCACAGATACGCTTTCAGACCTCCAGCAGTCTGTATCATCTTTCCACAACTTTGTTCTCCTCTGAGTTTACAATTCCTGTCATTTTTTTTCATTGTATGTATCTCTCTGTGTGTACATGTGCATGTGAATTCAGATGCCATAGAGTCCAGAAGAAGCTATCAGATTCCCTGGAGCTGTAGCTATAGGTGGTGGCCAGTTGCCTGCTATCGATGCAGAGAATTAAACTCCTGTCCTCTGCAAGATCACTATGTGCGTTTAACCATCGAGTTCTGCCTCCAGTCTTCTGTCATTTTCCTTTGAGGTGTCTTCTTTAGTAGCTACTTTATTGATAGCCTCAAAGCATGGCATCCAGAATTACCATAACACTCGATGATTTTTGAAAGCAAATACTACCGTCATTACTAAATGATTCTAGTCACACATAAAATTTCATATAGGCCAATGGGGTATGAACTGTTGTAATCAAATCTTGGAAACCAAGTGCCTGGTTCCACACTGATTTCTGAATTGCACTTGGATTTTGTAACTGTCACATATCTAGCCCCGTAACCGCCTAATACAATCCAGTCCAACATTTCTCTACATTGCCTACTTGAGGGTAACTATTCCGAATCCTACCCTATAAGTCGTTGAAAAACTTGTCTATTCATCTTATTTTTTCCTTGTGACAGAATCATCTTTTTTTTCCCCCTTGAGACAGAAACTTACCCTGTAACCCAGACAACCTCAAGCTCAGGATCCCCTTATCTCTCAGCCTTCACAGTTGCTGGGATTAAAGGCATATTCCACCATGCCCATTATACACCATCTTATTTCTTTTTAAAAATAAATGTGTTCATTTATTCATTTTGCATCCCAATCACAGTCTCTTCCCTCCTCTCCTTCCAGTCTCTCCTCCCACCATCTTCCTCCTTTTTCCCCTCCCCTTCTCCTCAGAAAAGGGGAGCTCCACCTTACAAACCTACCCTGGCCCATCCAGCTGCAGACTAACACAAGGAGAGCTAAAATGGCTGGCCATGGAGATAAATTCGAAGGAGCTGAGAGGAAGCCAGGAAACTACTAATGGCTTCTAGGAAAGGAAGGCCAGAGTGCTAGCCTTGAGGGCCAAAGAGCAGTAGAAAGAGAAAGGGAGCAATAGAAGGCTAAAGTCACAGAAGTGGCTCTGAGTTTGAGATGTTGAAGTGATCTACCATAGGACCCTGGAAGTAAGTGTGAAGAAGCTGAAGAAAGAGCCAAGATGTGATCAAAGAGCATAGGCAGAATTCAAACACTTACCTGAGTGAGCATAACTTAGCATTATGTACCAAAATTACACACATTCTCTTCCATTCAGCATCTCTGCCTGAGGGAGCTTTGTCTTATCCACATGTTTGCTTTTACGCAGAGTGATTGTGAAAGATGAGACAGACATTACGCATTGGTCTGTAACTGCATATAATGAGAAACAGCCTAAATCCCAATCAGAGTTTAGTCCATAAAGTGGAATGCTATGTGATTGTATAAAAGGATGCATTTCGTGTACTGATATGAAATAATCACTGTGTAATAACTGTGAGAAGCAAGGCACAGCAGAGTGTTAATAGTGTGTAGTGCATTTGACAGCATAGGCATAAAACATTTTCAGGAGACACAAACATTGATATTGGTTTTCCAAAGACAGCTTTTGGTAAATGGACTGGAGCTGGGAAATTTTACCTGGGAACAAAGGTGTAATGGGACCCCACACTCATTTAAAAAAAAAAAAGACAGGGTCTTACTATGTAGTCCTGGCTAACCTAGGACTCAATCTGTACACCAGGCTGGCCTCAAACTCACAGAGATCTGTCTGTCTCTGCCTTTTGAGTACTGGAGCTAAGGGCTTGCACCTGGCTGGCTCTTTTTGTAGAGTTGTAAAAATTGTGTGTGCGTATGTTTGTGTGTGTGTGCATGTATGAAACATGAACATTTTTTAAGGATATACCGTATTACATGTGTGGAAGTCAAAGGATAACTTGTGAGGAGCTGTTTCTCTTCTACTATATAGGTCCTGAAAATTGAACTCAGGCCATCAGGCTTGTGGAGAGGCATTTTTATTCATGGAGCCACTGCATAAACCTTTCCTTCCCCCTCTTTCTCCTACCTTTTGTATTTTTAGTCATGTGAATATATTACTTGCTGAGAAAATAATTTAAAATATATGAGTTTAATCTCTCAACCTCAGTTTTAGGTATGTATGTAATTTGTATCTACTTTATAGATATAAATCATTAGAATAAAAGTACCACAAAGAAGAATTTTGAATTTGAAGCATTTTGCCTCAAACCAGCCATTTTGCTAGGGCATTTGGTCAGGGTTTGGATGAAAAGCAACTGACCATGTGCTGAAGTTGAGTGGTGAATCTATGGGACTTTCTTTTCATTCCAAATATGAAATTTTATTTTCTTTGAGACAGAGCCTAACTCTGTAGTCCACACTGGAACTTAAAGGCGGCCTCAAACTCCATAGCAGGTGTGACCTGCCATGCCCTGCTAAATTTGCCATTTGGGAGGAGAGACAGGGTCTCACTATGTAGTCCTCCTGGAACTCACAGAGATTTGCCTGTCTCTATCTCCCAAGTATGAAAAAAAAATAAGAGGGCCGGCAAAATGGTTCATTGTGTAAAGATGCTCTCTCCTAAGTCTGCTAACCTGAGCTCTGTCCCCAGAGCCCACATGGTAGAAGGAGAGAATCTACTCCCAACACACACACACACACACACACACACACACACACACACAAATAAAGAGTTAAAAAGAAAAAAAATTAATTCCTATGAGGCTCATACTAAGAATATTTAGGTACTTTCTCATCCTGGATCTTATATCTCATAATTGAATGGAAATTCCCATTCCCTATTGACTTCTGAAACAGCATCATTACCTTGCTGATTTCCCTTTATTATGGGGCCTGGAACTGTTTTCAGGATTTTTTTTTCCTACTAATGACAATCTCTTCCCATTCTGTTGGGTGTTAATTGGCTACTACCTTGTTCTTAGTGCTTGCAAAGCTCATCTTGTTCTCGAAAACTCACTTCATTAGTTTTTTTTTTTTTTTTTAATGATCACTTGACATTCTCCTTCTGCCCCCGATTATTATTATTAGCTACCCTAACTAATTTGTGGTCATTCCCTTAACCTGGTTACTTATAGTTATCAATCCAGGGGCTGGTATCTCTTGGGCTTTCAGTTACACATCACAGCAAAGGTCATGGGTGAGCACACTTGTGTTCAGCCTTTCAACCTCCAGTTGTTTTGCTTATGTCTGCTCTTCTTATGTTACCTCCAAGACCATAGTAGCCTCAGCCTGGCTGCTGACAACACGCTAATTCTTGC